AATAATATCATCAACATATACCAGAAGGATGACATACTGTCCAGAAGTATTCCGTCGAATAAAGCAGATATGATCAGAATGACACCTGGTGAACCCCAATCGTACGACTACATCACTAAAGTGAGAGAACTAGGCTCGTGGCGATTGTTTCAGTCTATAAAGAGACTTACGCAGTCGACATACCTTTCCAGCATACTCCCCCTCACCACGAAAGCCGGTGGTGCATCCATATAAATAATCTCATCTAGATCACCGTGAAGAAACGCATTCTTCACATCTAATTGATGAAGAGGCCAAGACTACTCTGCAGCCAAAGAAATAATCAACCGAACAGTAGTCAATTTTGCCACAGGGGCAAATATAGCACCAAAATCACGACCTGATACCTGAGTAAAGCCCTTCGCCACAAGTCTAGCCTTGTGACGATCAATAGTACCATCCACAAGAAACTTTAGGGTGTAAACCCAACGACAGCCAATAGGCTTCACCCCTGAAGGTAAGGAGACAAGATGCCATGTATGATTATGCTGAAGAGCGTCTATCTTTGTCTGCATGGCAAGAACCCATTGGGGCTCCCGCATAGCCTCCGAAATAGAGCGAGGAACCGGCGTATCTGATAAGGCCATAGTATAAGCTCGAAATATGGGAGACAGATCACCATAAGAAATATAAGCAAAGATCGGATATAAAATCTTAGCGGTCCAATCATAACGATCAACTGGAAGGCGATCACGCCGCAGATAATGACGCCCTAAATCATACTCCTCCACTGATAATGTCTCATTAGGTAAATGAACTGGCTCAGCACCTGCAATCTCATCAGTACTAACAACAAGTGCATCAATATGCTCAACAAACTGGGAAGTATTACCTGCATCGCCTGAGGTAGAGGGGTCATCAGCAGGGTGGTGAGAGCGAGGGCGACGAACATACACCTGCAAAGGAAGAGAGACTAGTAACTCTGTACTGACAAAGATTAGTGGCTCTGAAGGAGGAACANACGAGCTGAATAACAGATCAATTATCATAATATAATGTGGATGGAGCAGTCACTGAAAAACCCAACTTGCCAAGAATCGANAAGACTGGTAACTCTATACTGATAGGGATGAGTGGCTTTGAAGGAGGAGAAACAGATGACCCTGTAGGGATAATGACCAATGACTCTGACTCTTGTGGTAATGAAAAATCAAAGGGAGTATCATCAACTGGAGGGGCAGACACAGGACCGGGAGGAAAATAAGGAATATGCTCAAGAAAGGTAACATCTAGACTGTGATACATACGGCGCCTGATAGGATCATAACACCGATACCCCTTAGATTGATGACAATAGCCCACAAAGATACAACGAATCGCTTTATCATCAAGTTTATGACGAGTAGGAGACCGATGCTGAACAAAACATGTGTATAAACACGAGGGGGAATCGAAAAAAGTGTCCGCTCAAGAAATAAGACCTGTAAGGGAGCTTTATGCTGAAGAACACGACTCGGCGTACGATTGCACAGAAACGTAGAAGTTAAAACAACAAAATGTCAATAAGATTTTGGTACCCTCATGCCTCTAAGCATACAACGTNCACGACTACATCACTAAAGCGAGAGAACTAGGCTCGTGGCGATTGTTTCAGTCTATAAAGAGACTTACACAGTCGACATACCTTTCCAGCATACTCCCCCTCACCACGAAAGCCGGTGGTGCATCCATATAAATAATCTCGTCTAGATCACCGTGAAGAAACGTATTCTTCACATCTAATTGATGAAGAGGCCAAGACTACTCTGCAGCCAGAGAAATAATCAACCGAACAGTAGTCAATTTTGCCACAGGGGCAAATATAGCACCAAAATCACGACCTGATACCTGAGTAAAGCCCTTCGCCACAAGTCTAGCCTTGTGACGATCAATAGTACCATCCACANCGCAGTAACGGGAGAGGGTCTCCAAATATCAGAGTGTATTAGGTTAAATGGCTTAGGTGACTGGTGCATGCGAGGAATATAACTGGCCCTAACATGTTTCGATAGGGAACATATAACACAGTCAAGTTTACCACCGACACAAGCATTGCTCAAAGCAGGAAACAACATACATAAATATTTAAAATTTGTATGTCCAAAACGGTCATGCCACAATTGAACAGTTTGTGACGAAAAATCATAACGACAACTACTAGGTAAAATACTAGCATGCAAGCTAGGAACAGAAAAAGACAAAGCAGGTGCAGGTGAAGGAANGCATAAGCTCGAAATATGGGAGACAGATCACCATAAGAAATATAAGCAAAGATCGGATATAAAATCCTGGCGGTCCAATCATAACGATCAACTGGAAGGCGATCACGCCGCAGATAATGACGCCCTAAATCATACTCCTCCACTGATAATGTCTCATTAGGTAAATGAACTGGCTCAGCACCTGCAATCTCATCAGTACTAACAATAAGTGCATCAGTATGCTCAACAAACTGAGAAGTATTACCTGCATCGCCTGAGGTAGAGGGGACATCAGCAGGGTGATGAGAGCGAGGGCGACGAACATACACCTGCAAAGGAAGAAAGACTGGTAACTCTATACTGATAGGGATGAGTGGTTTTGAAGGAGGAGAAACAGATGACCCTGTAGGGATAATGACCAATGACTCTGACTCTTATGGTAATGAAAAATCAAAGGGAGTATCATCAACTGGAGGGGCAGACACAGGACCGGGAGGAAAATAAGGAATATGCTCAAGAAAGGTAACATCTAGACTGTGATANGTGGGAGGCGGACTGTACCCCTACTAACAATAGGGGCATGTATCCCATCTGCTAACTAAACCTGTGTATGTAACTGCTCGTCAAAAGTGGTGAAGTGATNTTTCAGATAATAGATTCATGGCCAACTTTGGCGCATGAAAAACCGAACGTAATGTAAGGCNAGTAACATCTAAACTGTGATACATACGGTGCCTGATAGGATCATAACACCGATATCCCTTAGATTGATGACAATAGCCCACAAAGATACAACGAATCGCTTTATCATCAAGTTTATGACGAGTAGGAGACCGNGAGTCCAACATCCAAAGAGGAGATGAACTGGCACAAGCGTGAACGACACGAGGTATACCTGTAGTGGTGACAGCAGCAGTAGTCAGACTCTGAGAAGTCGGAGCAGACATAAGTATATCTAATGGGGAAGTGATAGCATCCATATCACTCTGCCAAGGTGGAGTAGCAGCTGCAGGAGTAGCGGTAGTGGGTGGTAGTACCTCAGCAATAGCAACAGTACGACTGCGAGGAGGCGGCTTAAGCTCTGGATGGAGCTTCCAGCAAGTAGCCCTGAGATGTNTGGTAGGCGGACTGTACCCCTACTAACAATAGGGGCATGTATCCCATCTGCTAACTGAACCTGTGTATGTAACTGCTCGTCAAAAGTAGTGAAGTGATGGGCCTCACCTGTCATGTGACCATTCATACCCGAGTCCAACATCCAAAGAGGAGATGAACTGGCACAAGCGTGAACGACACGAGGTATACCTGTAGTGGTGACAGCAGTAGTAGTCAGACTCTGAGAAGTCGGAGAAGACATAAGTATATCTAATGGGGAAGTGATAACATCCATATCACTCTGCCAAGGCGGAGTAGCAGCTGCTGACGGGAATCCCCCTGTCTGCGCTGATCTGGGGCACCCTGACGGCGCTGATCCGAACGCTGTCCACCCCTGACTGAGGATCTTGAACGAGACCCTGCAGCAACTACAAGGGCCATCTGGTCAGCCGAAGGAGTCAAAGCCGCAACTGAAAGTGATGCAATACNTATGTGTATCCAAAAACACGAGGGGGAATCGAAAAAAGTGTCCGCTCAAGAAATAAGACCTGTAAGGGAGCTTTATGCTGAAGAACACGACTCGGCGTACGATTGCACAGAAATGTAGAAGTTAAAACAGCAAAATGTCAATAAGATTTTGGTACGCTCATGCCTCTAAGCATACAACGTACCATCCCTATCAAACTCCTATTTTTCCTTTCAGCAACACCATTTTGCTCAGGAGTATATGGACAAGTGAGTTGCTGAAGGATACCCTGAGAAGAAAGGTGAGACACTAAAGCATCAGACACATATTCTNCTCAGAAAACCACGCAGAATATCCAGGGTCAGCATCAACTGGTTTTGGGTGAGATCCCGTCAGCCAACAAAACTTCCCTATACGGCCTAAGAAAATCTGGAATGAGCGAGATCACTCAGCAAAGTTACGACCATTCAACAACTGTGCCGTAACTTTTTGAGAGATCATGCCCGGTAGTGCTGGTAATGCAACTGTGCTAGTAGGCACTGTATACT